CTACCTGGCTTCATTTTGACCAACCCTGTGCTTTTCCTTCTAGAAACACAGACTCCCCGGGGCGCCTGGGTGGCTCAGTCGTTAAGTGTCTACCTTCGGCTCAGGTCATGATCCCAGGGTCCTGGGTTTGAGCCTCGCATCGGGCTCCCTGCTTGGTGGGAAGCCTGCTTCTCCCTCTCCCACTCCCCCTGCTTGTGTTCCCTCTCTCGCTGTGTCTCTCTCTGTCAAATAAACAAATAAAATCTTAAAAAAAAAAAAAAAAAGAAAGAAAGAAAGAAAAGAAAAAAGAGAAACAGACTCCTGGAACTAGTATGCAATAGCAGAAGTGCAGCCGGCTCGGGGTGACATTTGCTCTCCGTCTGGCCCTGCTCTTACAGGGAGTCCTTGCCATGCACAAGGAGGAACGCTGTGATCTTTTCCTGGGGAGTTTCCACTCCACCTAGCAACAAGATCCCTTCGCCGGAGGTGCCGGCCTGGGACACTCAGGGCCTTCCTCAGCGGTGGTGGTGGTAGGGGGGAAGGTCAGGGCCTTCCTCAGCGGTGGTGGTGTTGGGGGGGGAAGGGGGGCAGTGGCTGCTTCCCCCCCACCCCACCCGGAGGGCTGCCTGAGCACCTGCAAGGGGTCAGCAGGCCTGGCCTCCACCCAGCTCAACGTGGGACCTTTTTGCCTCCTCCCACACTGTCCACGAGCTCCCAGAAGGAGCTCTGTGAGGTTTCCCATCCACCTTCTGGATGCTGTCTGAAGCTGGACTTAAAAATTGTTAGTTGCAATAGAGTGAAGTTCTCTCTTCTCTCTGGCTTCCTACTCTCCTCCAGCTTTTCAACAGTCATCCATTCAAAGTTTATCAACAACTACTTGGTTTTGGGGCGCCTGGGTGGCTCAGTTGGTTGAGCGTCTGCCTTCGGCTCAGGTCATGATTCCAGAGTCCTGGGATCGAGCCCCATGTTGGGCTCCCTGCTCAGCGGGAGTCTGTTTCTCCCTCTCTCGCTCCTGCTGCTTGTGCTCTCCTTGTCCAATAAATAAACAAAATCTTAAAAAAAAAAAACCACAACAACCCACCAAGTACTTGGTTTTATTCCATATTAAGTACTACCCCAAGAAAGATTTCCATCGCTAAACTGAGCTGAGAAGTCCTTTCGATATCCTTTATCGTTGTGGGGAAACAGCAGGACCGTGTCTGTGTGACTCATGATGAGGCCCAGCACGTGGCCCAATGGCAGATGGCGGGTCCTGACTCAGTATTTGTTGGATGTGCAGTGAGTCCTGTGGGGAGGACTGGGACAGTATATCTGTGAGAGGTGGATGCAGTTTGCCCTCTTGCAGATACGGGACTGCTTCTAAGCTATACTCGGTCCTCTTCATAGAGGATTTCTGGAGACATTACTCCCCTCATCCCCTGGCATGCCCACCTACTTTGCCGTCTAATCCAGTAGTGGGGGCCGGGCACGGTTGGAGGGGAAGAGGATCCTCCCAGAGCCCCTGTCAATTTTTGCTGTCTGTTGGGTCCTCTACCCTGTACAGCCCTATCATTCTCTGGCAAGCATGTCAGAGCTGAGCCAGTCTCCATTGGGTTAGGCCATTTGGCTGGTTGCTGTACCATAACCCCCTACATCCTCCTCTAAGGCATACTGAGGGGCAGAGTCCCAAACACCAAGGCCTGGAATTCCTGGCTGGCATAAAGGCTTGGAAATCCCTCACAACTCCTGTGTTCCTTACCCTTCTGCAGAGCGAAGGCCCCATCGTTTCCTTTGGCTATGCCAAAAGAGGAAGATACAGCACGTGGCTAACTCCTGATTGGGCAGGAAGACACTTCTTCTAGTGGAGGCCAGGGAGTGAGGGAATAGTTTATGGATTTAAGTGAAGAGCCTTTTGGCTAAGAGAGACTGGTTACCCAGAGGTGAAGATACTCTGGGGTCCATGAAGGAATTCCCCTTTGAAGGTGCTTGCGGGAAGGAAGTGTTGGACGTGCCACATTTACTTATGAACTGATAGGTATCTCACAATTATTCTGTGCTGGGCCCAGCACTTGGTGCTTTCCCCACACATAAAATTTTAGGGGTGAGGAGTAGGGCTGGTTTCCTATAAACCCCTATCTAGCTGTGTGGCCCTGGGCAAATTCTTCCACCTCTCTGAGACTCAGTTGTTTCATTTGTAGAATGAAGACTAGAAGAGTATGTTTTCTGGGTTGTTGAGAGGATTAATTGAAATGTGTATGTGAGCAGTTTATCACCATGTCTGACACAACATAAGGACTCCCTACATATTAATTATCCTTAATAAGTACTTAGGTAAAAACTAGAATATCTTAGGGCACCTGAGTGGCTCAGTTGGTTGAGTGTCTGACTCTTGATCTCAGCTCAGGTCTTGATCTCAGGGTCGGGAGTTCAAGCCCCCCTGCTGGGCTCCACACTGGGCTCCACGCTGGCTGGAAGCTACTTAAAAAAAAAAACAACGGGCGCCTGGGTGGCTCAGTCGTTAAGTGTCTGCCTTCTGCTCAGGTCCTGATCCCAGGGTCCTGGGATGGAGCCCTCCGTCGGGTTCCCTGCTCAGCGGGAAGCCTGTTTCTCCCTCTCCCTCTCCCCCTGCTTGTGATCCTGCTCTCACTGTGTCTCTCTGTCAAATAAATAAAATCTTTAAAAAAAACCCAACCAAACAAAAAAAACAAAGTATCTTCTGAATGCACTGGTAGACAAATCCATTCTTCTGTAACCATCAAACTTGACATACATTGTACAATATGCTTTATGCTATGAACGTATTTTCTGAACTCCAAAACTCATGCTCTGACAAGTTTTTCTTTTCATGTTTGTGAATTTTTATTACATAAAAAGTATAAACTTATACATCTAACCTACAAATAGAAACCTTGACTATGAGAGATAAAATAAGACCTGAACAAATGGGGGGGGGGAACATGAATCTTAAATCTCTTCAAATGGATTTTAAAATATTGACAAGAAAAATTTTAAAATATTTGACAAATTCTAGAGTTTATTTGGAACAATAAATGAGTGACTGTAGCCAAGAAAATTTTTTGGGGGGAGAAAAGGAATCTGTGTAGGGGGAGTACTTACACTATTAGATATTAAAACTTATTTTCTGTGATAAAAATACACACATAAAATTTAATTTGGGGTGTGGTGGCTACTCTTTATGTGTACCAAAGGCAGAAACTATAAAAGCCTTTTATTTTATAAGATAGGAACTCCCAAACAATGTGAAATAAAACCAATTTCCCAACTTTAAAAAATGGACAAATAAAGTGAGCAAAGGGACATAAGCAAATTCGCAAAAAAGAAAATACAAAGAGGCAAGAAATATGAAAAAACAAGCCAGCTAACTAGTAATCTAGGAAATGAAATTCAAAACAATGAGAAATAATGACTTCAAATTTGAAAAAATAGCCAGCGTCGTCAAGGATATGGAAAAATGGGCATTTCTCAAGGGAAAGCTAATAAATTTTCCTGGAAGACATTTTAGAAAGCATTTTAAAAATATACTTTGCCTTTGATCCGTCAGTTCCCCACTCCTTGAACTTTAAAATCAGCCACGTGCGATAAAAGATGAATCTCTAATGATACAGAAAACCAAGAAAGTTTACTTGTACATTTATGCTGCCATTAAGAATCACGCCATAAGAGAATATCTGGTAAAATGGGAGAAAACTCACAATATTGTTAGTGAAAAGGGCAGAGTACATTTTTTGCAACGCATTATCCCTATTCCGTCAAACGTGCATAGGTGAGTATAGAAAAAAACACCGGAGGAGACGTACCAAGATTTGAAATGTAACTGACTCTAGGAGCTAAAAGTCTGAGAGATTTTTATATTCTATTTCCGACAGAACTGCTGCAACAGATTTAAGTGTTTTAAAAATGACTGCACAATTTACATCGACTTTGTTGAAAAGCGTAACAGCACATGACCCTGGACTAGCCTGGAAAACCCAGGAAGGCTTTGGTTCCTAAAGCCACGGCCACCTGCTCGGCGGTGAGTCACGGGCGCAGGCTCGCACCTGCCTCCCCGCTCGCCGACCGGCTGCCGCGCGGTTCCGAGCGAGATGCCCGGGGCCAGAGCGGCCACTCGGCCAGGCCCCGCGCCCGCGGCCACGGGAAGCCGGGAACGCCTGCTCGTGGTAATTTCTGGAATAGGGGGCATTCTCTTTCTTCCAAGTTCACGCGGCCGGGCCTTTCCTTTCTCCCCTTGCGAGCAACCGGAAGCCAGACTTTCGGGTCAGCCGCGCCGCCCCCAGCCCCGGGCACTTCGGGGCTGCCGCGCGGCCAGAGGTCGCGGTGGCCGGCGGCGGCCGCAGCCGTGAAAAGCTGGCCCGGGGCGGCGAGCGCCCTCTCGGAGGAAGCCGGCGAGGCCGGGTCTAGCCGAGGGACCGCGGTCCGGCCACGCGGTCGCGCAAGGACGCGCGTCCTCCGTCGGGACAAAGGGTCGGGAAACTTGAGCCGGGCCTGTCCCGGAAAATCCGGGCTGCGGTCGCCATGGCTACGGGGCCGAGCTCCGGGCGGCCGCCCCCGGCCCGGCCCGCGAGGGGGCGCTGGGAGGGGCGCGCGGAGGGGGCGGGCCCCGGCCGCCCGCCCCGGCCGCCCCGCCCCGCCCTCCGGCCGCGGCCGCCGGCCCCAGCCCGCGACTGACCCTCGGCAGCGCCTGTAGTCACGTGGCGCTGGGAACCGGCGGGGGGGCTGGGCCCGGGCCTGGCAGTGGGGAACTCGAACCTGCCGCTGTCGCCGCGCGGGGTGGGGAGCGCGGCCGCCGGCGCCGGCGTTCCGGCCTCATGGACGCGCGACGCGCCTCCGCGCACCCCGCCGGAGAGGTTCGTCCCGGGCAGGGCGCGGGGTTCCACGCGGGCCCGCGGCGGGCGGCCCTACCTGCCGGGCGCGTGACTGTGTGTGCGCTGTGGGGGGGGGGGGGACAGTGCTGGACCGAATGGGGGGGGAGCCCGCGCACCTGCGCACAGGCTCCGCGAGGTGCGCTCTGCGTGGGGACCCGAAAGGGCCCCCTCGGGGTGCGCGGAGCCGTGTGTCCGCGACGTGGACGGGGGACGCTCGCGAAAACAAAAGGGGGGTGTGGGAGCTCCACGACCTTTTGCCATCCAGAGGCGCAAGGGGATTGTGACCGAGACCTGGCCACACTAGCTCGCCCTACGCAGCCCCTTGGGAACCGGGCCTGGAATTCCTGTTGGGAGGAGGGTGGGGGAAGGGGAGCCAGCAGGGATTCCAGAGTTTCTGCCATCGGCCGGCCGGCCTTTGGCCATCAGCGTGGAGAATTCATGCTGTGACCTTACCCGTGGAGGAAATGACCCCCAAACGCTGTCGTGTACTTCCTTGGTGAAGGGGCCACATTCATTTATTAATCCAGTATCCGTTAAGGTTCCTCGGCCTCTCGGGGTGTGGGGCTTGGGTGGGGGAGGGGGTTGTGGCTGGCGAGGACACAAAGATGACTGCCCTGGAGGAGCTCAGAGCCTCATGCGTGTTTTCTCTCCCCTCCCCGCAGGTAAGGCTGGCCTCTCTGCACTCAGAGGTCTGAGCTCTGCCATGGGGGTAGGGGTGTCTTTACTGCTGCAGTTTTCTCTGACATCTGGGGGCTACCAGAGTGTGGGCCGAAGCAGGCGCTACAGCCGCAGAAGTATTCCCAGGAACATCCCCGGGAGGAGCTGGAAAAAGCCTCATCTCCAGCTCCACGGTCTCCAGGGTAGAGTCTGGCCTTCTTTGTTGGGTTCCCAAACCATTCCACGGCCCCAGTGCTCAGATCGCCTCATCCTGGAGGAAGGCGGTCACCTGTAGGGGGGAAGGATCACCTTCCCATACCAGCGTCTTCCCTGTGCTCAGTCTGGCCATGGGGAATGAGTCATGTCTGAGCTCCTCAAGAGGAGTTCGGCTCTAGGGAATTTAGGAGGATGTGTCTGGAGCTTGCAAGCCGGCAGTGAAGGTCCATTAGGAGGTTAACCACCACCCACCCCTCAGTGGCTGCCGGAAGCCGTCCTCGAGGAATCTGGGCTCCCCGGCACCGTGGAGGAGCGCAATGTGGGGCAGTTCCTGGTGGGGTTGGGGCATGGCCTGGCAGGGGACAGGGATTACAGTCTTGTCTTTCCTCCCCTTCTCTCGCCCCGGTAGTAATCCCGACCACCCCGAGGGAGGGTAGCCGGCTGTGGGTGTTCCTTGGGTTCAGGAGAGCTCTCCTTCCTGCGATGTGCTAATCATGTGTGTGGGCAGAGGAGGGCAGGCAGGCAGAGTGTGGGCAGTCTGGACAGGCAGTGGCCTGCAAGTAGCATCTAGCACTCCCCTCCTGCTCCCCAGAAGCGCTGTCTCCTGCTCTCCAGGCTTCTACCCTGAGCGACTGGGGTTAGGGAGGCCCAAAACGCTCCCCTGTGGTGTGATTAGAACCCAGGAGAGGATAAATAGGGTCAAGGCTGTAGGAGTTTCTTTCTGTGGGAACTTTACAAACCCCGGCGTTTTAGAAGCAAGAACACACTGGCCTGGGAGTTTAGAAGACCTGTCCCCCGCTCTTGGTTCTGCTCTTGGTTTATTGTGTCCCCTCAGGCAAGCCCCCCTCTCCTTTTTATGCCTCAAAGTTGCTTCATCTGTCAAGCTGGGAGCTTCATGTCTGCTTGTCCCGCCTCACTTTTGCTGTGAAGCTCAAATGTAGCGGCGGGAAATAATAGAAACGAGCAGGGGGCAGCAGGGAAGCGCTTGTAAAAAGCCTAAAGCACCACGGGGAGAGGTGACCACGTTCTCTGGTGAGTCCCAAGGCAGGAATGTTTGTGCAGCCAACGCTGGAGTGTTTACTCCATGCCAGACACGGGGCGACTAGCATGAGGGGGGATTCCAAGAAGTGTCAGAGTTCCTCCCTTCTGGTAGTTTCCAGGGTTAGTGAATACTGAGTAAATACTTAAATACACTTGAAATGGTATCTAGAAGCGCAAGATGGAAATGATGTAGAACAGACAAGGAAATAGAAGACTAGGCCAGATTCAAGGGCTCTAGGAGTTCAGAGGGACGAGCTCCTCTGAGGCCTGGGGTCGGCCGGGGAGGAACTGGGGCAGGATGAACTGATCTCCAGAGTGACGCTGCTTTTCCACCCTCAGCAGAGGAGGAACCCATGCTGGAACGTTGCTGCAAGGGCGCCCTGGCCATGGGCCCGGCCCAGCCCAAGGTCTCTGGGCCCTCCCAGAAGTTGCCCCAGACCCTGGAGAAGGAGCCCCACGGGCTGAGGTTACAAGGCACTTCCGTGGCCCAGTCGGGCAGCCAAGCCCCCAGTAGGGCCCATCGCTGTGCCCACTGTCGAAGGCACTTCCCGCGCTGGGTGGCCCTGTGGCTTCACACCCGGCGTTGCCAGGCCCGGCTGCCCCTGCCCTGTCCTGAGTGCGGCCGTCGCTTCCGACACCCCCCCTTCTTGGCACTGCACTGCCAGGTCCATGCCGCCGCCACCCCGGATCTGGGCTTTGCCTGCCACCTCTGCAGGCAGACCTTCCGCGGCTGGGTGGCCCTGGTTCTCCATCTACGGGCGCACTCGGCTGCAAAGCGGCCCATCGCCTGTCCTGAATGTGAGAGACGCTTCTGGCGACGGAAGCAGCTTCGAGCTCACGTGCGGAGGTGCCACCCCCCGGCCCCAGAGGCCCGGCCCTTTATATGTGGCAACTGTGGCCGGAGCTTTGCCCAGTGGGACCAGCTAGTCGCTCACAAGCGGGTTCACGTAGCCGAGGCCCTGGAGGAGGCAGCAGCCAAGGCCCTCGGGCCCCGGCCTAGGGGCCGCCCGGCGGTGACCGCCCCCCGGCCCGGGGGAGACGCGGTCGACCGCCCGTTCCAGTGTGCCTGCTGCGGCAAGCGCTTTCGGCACAAGCCCAACCTGATCGCCCACCGCCGTGTGCACACGGGCGAGCGGCCCCACCAGTGCCCCGAATGCGGGAAGCGCTTCACCAATAAGCCCTACCTGACCTCACACCGGCGCATCCACACCGGCGAGAAGCCCTACCCGTGCACGGAGTGCGGGCGCCGCTTCCGCCACAAACCCAACCTGCTGTCCCACAGCAAGATCCACAAGCGGTCCGAAGGGTCTGCGCAGGGCGTCCCCGGCTCGGGGAGCCCCCAGCTTCCGGCCGGCCCCCCGGAGGCCTCGTCCGAGCCCCCCGCCGAGGCCCCGCCGAAACCTGCCCGCGAGCGGCCGCCCGAGCCTCCGCAGGGGGCCCCGGGGGCGCCCCCGCCCGAGCCGGCGGCCGCGCCCCCCTCGCTCTTCAGCTGCGAAGACTGTGGCCGGAGCTTCCGGCTGGAGCGCTTCCTGCGCGCCCACCAGCGGCAGCACACCGGCGAGCGGCCCTTCGCCTGCGCCGAGTGCGGGAAGAACTTCGGCAAGAAGACCCACCTGGTGGCGCACGCCCGCGTGCACTCGGGCGAGCGGCCCTTTGCCTGCGAGGAGTGCGGGCGCCGCTTCTCCCAGGGCAGCCACCTGGCGGCCCACCGGCGCGACCACGCCCCCGAGCGGCCCTTCGTCTGCCCGGACTGCGGCAAGGCTTTCCGCCACAAGCCCTACCTGGCGGCCCACCGGCGCATCCACACCGGCGAGAAGCCCTACGTCTGCCCAGACTGCGGCAAAGCCTTCAGCCAGAAGTCCAACCTGGTGTCCCATCGGCGCATCCACACGGGCGAGCGCCCCTATGCCTGCCCCGACTGCGACCGGAGCTTCAGCCAGAAGTCCAATCTCATCACCCACCGGAAGAGCCACATCCGGGACGGCGCCTTCTGCTGCGCCATCTGTGGCCAGACCTTTGACGACGAGGAGAAGCTCCTGGCCCATCAGAAGAAGCATGACGTCTGAGCGGGCAGGGGCTGCGCAGGCCGAGGGGGGCGGGCGGGGCGTCCTTTACACGAGAGTGTTGCCGTGGGCCTGGGCTGTGGGGGGCCTGTGTTGCTGCTGGTGTAGGCAAGGGATGGGAGAGCGGCCGGGGAGCTGGGCCCTGTTAGGGAGGGAGGCCCGGCCCCCGGCGCCCGGGAAACCACTCGCAGAGCGCCGGACTCTGGCCTCCAGCTGGTGTTTGCTAAGGTTCTGCCCTGACTGCCCTGGGCCCTGGAAGAGTAGCAATAGCAGCTTCACCTACCCCTTAGAGCCCTCCTGCTGGAGGGGCCACCAGGGACCAGGAAGACCCTTCCCCTCTGGTGTTAACGCCTTAATGTCCTTGTCTTTTATTATGAGTTTCTTCGGCTCAGTTTTTGGAAGTAGGTGTGGTACAGTCCTTAGTGAATGAGCACTTGGGAGGAAAAGTGGACCAGCTGGATACACCTGGGAGAACCTGCTGGCCTTGTTAGACAGCACCTAGGCCTTTTCCAGCACTGAGAGGTGAGGCCGCGCTGCTCTAACCTGTCCCACCCCGTCCCCTTCCTCCTGCCCCTGCGTAGGCACCGGGACTCAGACCCATCTACTGTTAGTGCTCAGCTCCACTCCCCCTCCCCGAGATCAATGCACCACCCTCCCAGCGCTTAGAGCATCCCCTGGCTGTCAGCAGCCCCGTGTCCAGGCTTTTGTCTGAACACCCCAACCCTCCACTTGTTCCAGAACTCGACATGGTGGAAAGGACTGCCCCATTGATCATGGAGGGTCGGCTGACAGGCAGAAAGGGGCGAGTTTCCTCTTCTCCATTTCTAGGTTATGGATGCCCAGCCTCTGCTTGAACACTTAGGTGACAGGGAGTCCCCACCTCCTGAGGTCCTGGTTCTATTGTAGGATAATTCTAATTGTTAGAAATTCTTCCTTATAATGAATGGAATCTGCTTTCCTGTAATTTCTACCTATTGGGCCTTGTTCTGTTCTCTGGAATGAAACAGAACAACCACTTACCCTCCTTTTCAAACTAGAGAATAAAGATTTGGTTTTAGAGCTGGTGGCTGAGTGTTCCTTTCTCCCGGTGAGCTGTGTAGTTTGAAAGAGGAGCAGCATGCTCTGCTCTGGGGGGGCCGGGGGGGGGGAGGCAGGGGGCCGCAGGGGAGGAGGGGTGTTGGTAACGGGGCAGGTGCCCCCCCTTGAGCTCCTTTGCACCTTGCTCCCAGTTCTTCCCCAGGGGAGGCCAGGCACACCCCGCAGGTGGGGCTAGTTCTGCAGGAACTTAGCTTTCTGTGGGGTCAAGTGAGACCTGTCAGGGGCCAGTAATCAGGAGGACAAGGTCTGATTGGAATGTTCTGCAATGCCTTCCTGGCTGGCCCGCCGATGCTTCCCTGTACTGGCCGTTTCATACACATTTGAGTGCCTATTCTTTTTTTTTAATATTTTTATTTATTTGAGAGAGAGAGCATGAGAGGGAGGAGGAGGGTCAGAGGGAGAAGCAGACTCCCTGCCGAGCAGGGAGCCCGATGTGGGACTCGATTCCAGGACTCCAGGATCATGACCTGAGCCGAAGGCAGTTGCCCAACCAACTGAGCCACCCAGGTGTCCCTGAGTGCCTATTCTTGACAGGTGTTAGTGGGCCCTTTTCCTGCCAGTTTGAGTAATTTCTGCATAGATCCAGCACCGTGCACACCGTGCATAATAACCACCACAATTTGTTAATGCGAGTGGCACCTCGCAAAGAAGTTTACCCAAATGATCTCCCATAATCCCCGGGTGGTAGGTACTCTTCTACAGATGAAAACCTTTGCTCAAGGTCCTATAACTGGCAGTCACCAGAGGCGATTTAAACCCAGGTCTCTCTGACTCCTGGAATGTGTGCTCTTGACTATTGCCACATGTTTGTTAGGGGAATGGCGTATGCTGCTACTTTGGTGAAGATAATTATCCAATGCCTACCATGCTTGATGTTGTGATGGCAACTAGGGGTTTTACCAAGGTAAGACCTTGTCCTTGCCTCTAAGAGGCCTAAGTCTGGGGAGGACGTATATGTGTACACAAATAATGAGCAGAGGGAGAGGGATTGGGGGGGGGACTCCAAGTGTGTAGGATGGAAGCAGATAGCTTCCAAGTTTCATATTGGTTGAAGTCACTTCGTGCCGTCACGGAGCCACTTAAAAACCTGTATAGTTAATGGCAAAGTATCTTTCAGAGACTAGAAGCATTGACTCAAGAATGCCACACTTCAATATGTCTCTTTAAGGGACGCCAGGGCTTCAAGGGAAGGGGAGCAATGCTTTTTGGGGGGGCAGGAAAGCAGGTCAACGTCTAGGGATGATGGGCAGGAACCAGGTCCTCAGGCACCTAACGTTTGTACTTGGGGGTTGGGGAAAAGGATGAGGGCGAGGGAATCTGACCAGGGCTCCTGACTTTGAAAGATCACCTTTAAAGGAAAAGCTTGGGGGTGGGGAAGGCCGGCACTGGGCGTCCACTAATGCTCTGCTGCACCTACTTTGGGGTAGAGATGATTGAGGAGAGGTCCAAAGTTCAGGGAAAGCCACAGAAGTGGCCTTGAGGGGGCTGGTCAAGCTGGGACAGAGTCCCGCAGAGGACCTGGGGTTCCCAAGTCATTGCTCAGCATGGCACATACAGACAGCGGTCTCGAGGGAGGAACTGCTCAGGTTGGAGGGGTCACAGTTCTGCTGACAGGAGCTACTCTTCTGTTCTGAGGTGCCCAGGGTTCCCCCCCCTTTTTCTTCTACAACTATAAAAGTACTCAATTATCTTGTCAAAATTAATAATGCAGACATATATTTTCTAAATATGGAAGTCTTTCACTCCCCCCTCCCCCCGTTGTCTTTTCTCTCTTTTTTCTTAATGTAAATAGGATCCCAGATGTGCTTCATTCTTTCCGTCCTTGAAATACCCTTGGTCATGAAACGCCAATCTGGAGGAAGACTTTCACTCTGTAGAGGAGGAAACATGCCCAGAGAGAAGTGGGTTTTCTCACTCATAACCAGTGGCAGATCTGGACCTAGAATACTGGAATTCCACAAGCCTTTGGTTAAACCTCCAGAAGGTACTCTAGAAAATAAAGAGATGAACGGGATTCTTTAAAAAGGTTGATGGCCTAGTGGTATCTGGTATCTGTGTAGGGTTTTGTACTTTACAAATGTTTCTATAGACAATAGAACCAATTAGGGTCCTGCAAAAGTCTGGAAAGGTAAGCATGTAACTAGGAAATTACTCTTTTACAGATAAGTCAAAGTGCAGAGACAGAAAAGCTGCACAGAAGTTAGTGGCAAAACCGACAGACTCTCAGTTGGACAGTGTCTGTTGTCCTGAGGCCAAACAATAGCTGGGCCCACGGCAAATGCTTAGTAGGCGGCCACGGATTCATTAGAATGAGGTCCATCAGCTTCACAGTAGGTTTGTAGGAAGTCTCAGAGAGAGAGAGAGAGAGAGAGAGAGAGAGAGAGGCCAGCCTGTGTTTTTATCAACCTCGAGTCCCAAAGGCAGTTTCTAAGCAGCTCCAGAGAGAATCCTGCCAGTGGGAGTTGACCTAGCTAGCCTGATGTAGCAGTGTGTGGAATCTTATTGACATAAAGGAGCATTCCTTCCAATTAGTGTGGGTAGAGGAGAAAATTCTCTTTTCTGAAGATCTCCAGGCCGTCTGGACCCTGCCTCTAAATCAGCAGTGACACTCCACCTTGGAACGTGACCTCTTCAGACCGCTGTTTCCTGAGGAGAAAGCGAGGGGGTGAATTTAATGAGGTCTCCGTCTCTCTGTCTCTGTCTCTGTCTCTGTCTCTCTCTCTCTCGGAGACCCCAGGACAGTTTATCGGGCGCCCACGACGTGCCTAGCGCCGCGCGGGGCAAGCACAGCTTCTCACCCTAACACGTGGTGTACTGTAGTGCCAGGTGCCACCATGTCACATGCACACTCGAGTGTCAGCGTCAGAGTGGGGTTCGTGCGTCCTGTTCTCCCGGATGCCGGCACCAAGAGCGGTGCGGGCTCGTCCCTGAGTCGGACGGAGAGCTGAAGAATGACGGGATCGATCTGAGAGCGCGTCCGCCGGGCCAGAGCCGGAGGGATAGCCCGGCGGAGGGGAAGAATATGGTGCCGCGGCGCCGTCCGGTCACCAGCACCCGGCCTCGCCCTCGCTCCTCCTCCCCTCGGAGCCCTGGACTCGGGTCCCGCGCCAGCGGCCAAAGCGTTAACTCCGCGCGGGGCCCCGCGAGGCCCAGCGGGCGGCGAGGTCAGCCCGCCCACCAGGGCTATTGGCTCAGGAGAACAAAGGGGCCGCCCCGCGGGCTTCTCCGATAGGGAGGAGCTGGTCATCTGAGCGGCGCAGCCAATCAGGCGGCGGGACGGCCCCGGGGATGGCCGGCCCGTCAGCCAATCAGGGGGAGGCGCCCGCCCCGCCTGTCCCGGGACTGGCGGGGCCGGGCACCCCAGTGCCCAAGTCGCCCCGGGGTGGCAGTTCCCGTTAACCTTAACCACAAAGTCAAGGTATTTATTCCCGTCCCCTCCCTCCGAGTCCCTCCGAATCCGGGCGGGAGGGGCGTGCGGAGGGACGGACCGTGCTGTGGGGCCAGCGCCCGGCCCGCTCCTCGCGCGCTGCCTCCACCCAGCCTCGGGCTGGCGGCGGCCTCTGGGGTCTCGGGGCCCCCTGAGCCCCTGGCGTTGCGGCTCCGAACTTTCCTCGCCCCCACACAGCCCCTGGGGAAAGGGGCCCGGGTCGTGCGTGGGAGGGGGCTGCAGGCGGGGGCAGAGAGCAGGAGGGGGGCCGTGAGAGCGGGAGGGACGGGATGGTGAGCGGGGGGTGGGGTGGGGGGCTGACCCCCGGTCCCCTCGGGCGCGTCCTGCCCAAGCGCTGGCCCTGCGTTCGGGTCTGTGTCAGCTGTGTCGGAAAGACCGAGCTTTTGGAGGGCAGGAGCCCCAGTGCTCGCCGCACAGTGACACAGAGTAGGTGCTTAATAAATGATTAAATGAGTGGGCATAAAGATTGGGAGTGCGAACGAGAGGGAAGCACCACAGACATTGGAAGTGCGTGCGTGTGTGTGTGTGTGTGTTTGGGGGTGGGGCTCCATTCCAGGAAAATGGGCACAGGAGTCAAGACCTCAGTGGGGGTGGGGGTAGGAGCTGGGGGCTTCTTTCCCCTGTAAAGGTGGAGGAGAATCCGTCCTTTGGGCGGGTGGAGCCTGGAGCATGTCCTGGTCAGCTAGACCTGGGGTTGGGTGTGGTCAGAGCCCAGAGCTTGACCCTGGCTGCTGTCCAGGCTCCATTATTAGCTCCTCTTTTTGGGTCCCTGTGTTCATCTGTAAAATGAAGAGATTAGAGGATATTAGTCTCCTTTCAACCCTAAGGTTCCATGATTCTGTGCTTCTAATCCGTTTTGGACTTAAATTTCTGTATTGTAAGTGTTTTTTTATTAAAATGTTTGTTAATGGTTTACAGCACATGGGACCTTGGGCCGGATGTTGGGGAGAGAGAAATACTCCATGTTAAGATGTTTACAGTTTTGTTGTGGAGACAGATAAATTATTATTATACCATGTATATGGTAGCGGCCTGGGTGGGTACACAGGTCAAACAGAGAAGGGCCCCTAACTGAGCCTGGCATATCCAAAAAGGCTTCCCGCTCAGAGCGATCCCTGATCTAGGCTGGGCAGAGAAGAGCTGGGCAAGAGTATTCCAAAACTGGTCACAGGCCGGCCAAGATGCTGCAAGGTCAGGGAGTCACATGTTGGGACAGGAGAGCTGGGAGGCAGGAGAAGCGAGCAGAGGCCGGGTTCTAAATGGTCTTGCCGAGAAATTTTGAGCTGAACCTGAAAGTACTGGGGACCCATTGGGAAGTATTTTGAGCAAAGTAGTAACATGTCCTCAATTTAATTTTAGGGAAATTGCTTTGAGTTCTGGGTGATTGAATGGATTGGAGGGGCAAGATAAGCTATAAAACTAGTACAGTCTTTGGGCAAGAAACAGTGAGGTGTAAACTGAGGTGGGGCAGTAGGAGATCTTGGAGGTATTAAAAACAGCACTGGTACAACTTAACGAGGTATGTGTTTTGACAGTTGTACTCTGGGGTAGTGAAAGGTGGTGGTGGTTTTGAGAGGCCTGATGAAGACCACTGTCCCCCCTGAAGAGGCAAGGGCTACCCAGGACAAAGTGCAGAGCTTGGTGGAGGTGGGGTGACCCATGTACCTGCACCCTTGGTGAGAGTTAAGCTGAGGAATCCCAGATTTCCTAGTGCAGTGTTGGCTGGGAGGGAAGAGTATGGTCAGAGTGTGCAGAAGGAGACCTTAGGTCTAACTGTCTATGAGGCAATGGATGTCACCCCTGGGCTTTACTTTCCTCATCCGGCAAGCGGGGAGTCAGTGGGGAGAAACACTCCTTACTCTTACCCTTTCCAAGCTCTTTCGAATGAAGCAAGGGGTTGGAAAGTGTTTATAAGTGAAAGTGTGACATCTGTTCAAAGTGTTGTTAGCAGTCAGTTTCATGTCTTGCCTTCAGATTGGGTCATGGGGGTCGCCAGGCCTTGGCTGGCTCCTGAGTCTTGGACCTTGGGCAAGGAATGTGGGTGCTGATCTCTCCTCTAAAGGGAGACAGGTTAGCAGAGCTGGGGATGTGGAGGCCATGGGTGAGGGACAGGCATAGAGGCAGGGAGGTGGGGTAGGGCAGTCCCCCCAAAAGGGTGAACGTTGGGTGGGTGGAGGCAGAAGCTCTGGAAGGAGGTACCTCTGAGACTGGCCTGGGGTTACATCTTGGACCTCCGGGGGGAGGGGGGCAGGCATGATAGGATAAGGCAGCTGCCCCGGCTCTCCATGGACTTGGTTCCCAGCGGACGCTGGTGGAAGCAGCCTGAGGTCATTAAACTGGGCTGTCCTTACCAGGGCAACCCTGAGTTACAGTTATTATAATGTGGGAGGCAAAGAGGGGGTGACGGCAATGTGGCGACCTAAAAATAATTTGTCTTGCACTTCGTGAATGTTTCCCACTGTTTTCCCCCCTTGCTTGATAGGACAAGTCTATCCATAGGAATAAGTGTTATTATTTTCCAAATAATAATTTGATAATTTCTGTGGAAGGATGGCCTGCCCTTTTCCCTTGCTCCTCTGACCCCTCTCCTAGGACTGAGGACCACAGTGTTTGGGAGATCGAGGTCTGAAGGTCCTGGAGCAGAAGAGGGGGAAGGGGCAGGGCTTGGAAGAAGGGCAACCGTGGGAGGTGCACGGGACCCTTGATCCAGTGCTGAGTGCGGGTCTGGGGAAGCTGGAGAGGAGGGAGGCCTTCTTGAGGAGCAGGGTGGGGGAGGGGAGAGGAAGATGGGGTGGAGGCCCTGGAGGGGTTGGGGACTCTTGTGGGAGTCGTAGAAGGACGTTGGGCATGCTCATGCTGGGGTGAGGGATGGAGGTGGGCCTCTAGGCAGTGGCCGCGACACTTCCCTGGTCTGAGCTAGGACCTCTGGGCCTGCTTGTCTGTCTGTGGGCACGGGGGCCATATAAGATGGGAAGCAGGTCTCCAGGGGCTCTGGCAGCAGCTGTGCTGTGTTTCTGATAACATTTTAAAGCCACTGGTTTGTGTGTCCTCGTTGGTCCTGAACTCTGGATGAGAGGAAGGTGGGAGGTCTGATGTGTCCAGCAGACTGTCCAGAGGCCAGCCAGGACACAACCCCAGGGGACAGGCCTTGTACAGGAGTGGCATTTGTAGGACGGCCTTGGGGGAGGGCCTGGTGGCTTTGGAACAGGTCCTGGGAGACAGGAGACACTGCCTCCTTCCCCTCAGTGAAGCTGAGGCTTTGAGCTGTAGGCCAGCAGAAGCATCTGAAGCTTGTAGCCCAGCCCCCCTGCCTGGTGCTCAGGCCCCCCAGCCTCCAGCCCCGCTTTCCTTACCACCGCCCACACAGCCGCCTCCACTCCTACCCCGTGAGGTACCCGCACCCAGTCCAGAGCCTCCCCCAGGGCTGTTGAGGGTCCAGTGACCTATACAAGGAGCCGTATGCGGCCTTGAAATGGTCCCGACAGGAAAATCCGTGCACACCCTCTTCTTCCTGCCAGGCCCGCTCACATCGGGGAGCAGAGTTTGGGGTGACTGGGTGGGTGCTGGGGGCCTCTGAGGATTCTGAAGTAGCTGGAGGCGTGAAGGTTTAGGAAGAGTGAGCAGCAGTGGTCCTTTGGAGGGGGCTTAGGAAATGGGGAGTGGGTGAGAGAGACACGGTTGGTTTGTAGGCTTCGGGGAGCGCAGTGTGCCGCAGATTGGTCCCGCCCAGTGCTCGAGACAAACCTGTGGGCAGGCCTTTTCAATCACCTTCACCTTAGGAACCCGAGGCCCGGAGGTAAAGTGACTTGTCAACCACTGGTGGCTTAGAACTCAGGGCCCTGATTCCCAGTCTAGGCCTGACATGGGCCTGATGTGGGGGTCCTGAGGAGAGGGCAGCCTTTGGGAGCAGACTCGGCTGAGGGGCTGGCCCTGTGGAGCTCAGGTTCCCAGGGCAAAGGGTCTGCTGCTTCCTCTGGGGCTAGACCCCCTGCACGCTGGCCCCGCGAGGGATCTCTTGCTGCTCTGGGCTTGCCCGGCAGAGCCCAGTTCTCTGTCTATGGCTTTCTGTGCCGGGCCAGCTTCTCCCCAGCCAGCCGCAGCCCCGGCTGGCCCCGTGCCATCCCCCACCCCCAGCATGGGCGCCCTAACGGGTGGCCGTCCCCCATCATACTGCCTCGCTTCCGTCTCCCTGAGTTCCCTTTCGTGGAGCAGTGGGCAGCTGGGAGCGTAACTGTGTGACGCATAGGCGCACATGTCCGCGCTCACGAGCGCACCGCGTAGTGTTGGTGCTTCTGTGGTTCATGCCCGCGCGCTGGTTTCTGTGGGTCTGCAGGCGTATCTGTGGGTTTCTCAGTTTCTTCGTACTTTACATACAGGTTTGCAGCTGTTCTCATGTACAAGCATCTCTGTATGTTTGCACCTCTGAACCTTGGTTTACTGAGCTGTGTTCGATGTGAGATACGATTGTTTCTGGGTGTGATGGTGTGTGCAGTTAGCGTTTACATCAGTTTCTTCTCCGGCGCCTGTGATCGCGTGTTGTAGATGGAAACATCCACTGACAGTAATTGCAATTGGATTCCCAGGCAGAAAACCCCATCACCTTATCCCTAGATGGTTGTCATCTGACCAAGGACTGGGGCCAGAGGAGCCCCCTCTTCACTCCTCCACTCATTCATTCATTCATCATTCAGTATACAGGTGCACCACAGATATATT